CTGCCATGGGAGTGCTGGGAAAAGCAGTCAGTGCTTAATTGCTAACCCATATCTCTGGCCCTGTTAACATACTTTTTTTTTTTTTTTTGCCAAGATTAATAACTAATCTTGTACCCAAGCGTAAGATGTCTAAAAGAAACTCTTGAGTATATCTATTGGAAGTCTTTTGGTCTATTATAAACAAAACAGTGGAAAGCCATGCAGTTTAGATTTTTATTTTTACTATTTTATTTATTAAATTTTACTGAACGTGTATGTGTGTAGAGAGATTGTGAGGGGACATGCATGTGTGGAGGACAGAGTATATGTGAACTCAGCTCTCTCACTTTTACCTGGGTTCAGAAGATGAGATAGATGACCATCTTGCCAGCCTTGCTGTTTTTTTTTTTTTTTTTTTTTTTTTTTTTTGGAGACAAGATCTTATGTAACTCAGGCTGGCCTTATGTTCAGAGAGCTCTGACTTCCTCTGCCTTCCAAGTGCTGGGATTAAAGGCATGTGCCTGACTGACATTTTTTTGTTTTTGTTGTTTCTTTTTGAGACAGTCTCTTCATGTAGTTCTGGCTGTCATGTAACTATTTATACTTAGGCTGGCCTCAAACTCGAAGTCAGAGATCTGCCTGTCTCTGCTTCACAAATGTTAGCATCTGCCCTTATGCCTGGCCTGACTAACATCTTAAGCAAAGAAACAGGTACTTTCTGAAATGTGTTTGTTAGTCTATTCCTATAAATCCTAGCTTTTGGGGGGCTAGTGGAGGAGGATTGCCATACATTTGTGAGAGCAGTCTGGGCTATATAACTAGTGCTAGGCTAACTTGGGTAGACTCTGTCCCAAAAAAAACCCAAAACTATAAAGAATACCTATACTTGCTGTACCTTCTGAGCTAGTTGTGATGATGCATGCTGGAAGCAACTTAGGAGGCTAAGGTAAGAGCACCACTTGGGCAACATAGCAAGACAGGGTTTCTCTGCATAGTACCGGCTGTCCTGGAACTCACTGTTTACACCAGGCTGGTCTCAAACTCTCATACTTCCTCCTCCTCCCAAACACTGGGATTAGAGGAGTAGGCTACCACTGCCTGGCTCTGAAGAGTTATTTTAAGAGAAGAAAGCGCATTTTCTGTTAGCAAATGTGAAACTTACATTTGGAACATTCAGTTTTGTTCATATTTTCCTTTCCTAGCCTAATTTCGTGTAGTAAGAAAATTGAAAACAAAAAGATGACTTAGAAGAAAAGTTGGAACTGAAAGGTCCCTGTTCTTGATCTATGACTTTAAGTACTTCTACCCTATCTGTTACTTCTATACTCTTACTTTATAAGGAAGATTAAACTACGGAAATTTCAAAGGCCTTTCTTTACTTTCCTTAAGCTTTCCCCCCTTTGCTTTTTTCAAGACAGGATTTTTCTGTATAACAACTCTGGCTGTTCTGGAACTTGGTTTGTAGAGCAGACTGGCCTCGAACTCCCAGAAATCTGCCTGCTTAGCTTCCTAAGTGCTAGGGTTAAAAGGCATACACCACCACACCCAGCTCTTTCCTTTAAAAAAAAAAAAAAGGTCATATCTGACTGTTGGTGGCATATACCTTTAGTCCCAGCACTGGGAAGGCAAAAGTAGGCAGAGTGCTTGAGTTCAGGGCCAGCCTGATCTACAGAGTAAGTTCTGGGACAGCCAGTACTACATGGAAAAACCCTGTCTTGAAAAACAAAACATATTTGTTGTATGTTGGCTTGCTAACTTGGAAATGACCATACTTTTATTTGTGACAAGAGGGGAACTAAGTACTCAGATTCTACTTAAATAACTTCATTTTATTTAATTTCTTTTATTTTTTTATTATTATTTTGAGATGGGATCTCTGTGTGACCCTGCTTGTCCTGGATCAGTCACTCTATGTAGACCAGGCTGGCCTTGAACTCACAGAAATCCACCTACCTCTGCTTGCTAAAATCAAAGACATATGCCACTATGCCAGACTCTTAATTATTTTTATATAAAAGTCTTGCTATTTAGTCCTTTGCTGGCCTAGAACTATGTATCCCAAGCTGGCCTGGAACTCACTGTAGTTCTGCTTCAGCCTTCAAAGTGCTTGGATTACTATCACTCAGCAGCAGGCCCAACTTTTTCTTCTTATTCTTTGAGTTTTTGAGATAGTCTCTATATAGTCCTGGCTGTCCTGGAACTTAGAATGTAGACCAGGCTGGCCTCAAACTCACAGATATCCTTCTGCTTCTCTCTCTCAAGTGCTAGAATTCAAGGCATGGGCAACCATGCCTTGCTAAAGTGCCCCACCCCCTTTTTTTAGACAGTTCTTTGCAGCCCTGGATGTCCTGAAACTTACTGTATAGACCACCTGCTTCTTCCCGTCATTTTCCCAAGCTGGGATAAACGCATGGACCACTAAGCCTGGCTATCCCTAGGTTTGTTGTTTGTGAAGTGGGACATCTAGCTGACTTTAAGAACTCATGTAGCAATGTAGCACAGATCCTTCTATCTCTGCCTGTCAGGATGGTGGAAATAGTAGAAACAAATGGTATCACAGCTTTCTTCCCTCCCTCTCTTCTTTTCCCTCCCTTCTCTTTTTTTTTCTTCTCCATCTTTCACTTGCTTTCCCCACCTATCTGCTTTTTTCCTTGCTCTTGCTCTCTTACATTCCCCTCTCCCCAAATCTCCTTCCTCCCTATCTTGGAATGTCTTAGATAAGTTCAATTCTTTTATAATTTCACTGACAAACACTTCCGAACATATTTCTGTAGACCTGGGCATGGTGACGCAAGCCATCATGTGGGAGGTGGATAATGGAGGATCCCGAGCTCAAGGTCACCATTACCTACGTATCAAATTGAAGGCCAGTCTTACTGCCTCTGAAACCAAAAAGGAAGAAAGTATTTCTATAGATAAATAGTCTTTTTTGGGGCAGTAGAATGTTATAACAGTACAGTATTGTTATATCTTCAAACTTAAAAATAATTGTGGCTGTAAATGCAATTCAATAGTAGAACCTTTATTATATTTGCATGTGTGTGAGGGTGTACATACAACAGCACATGTATGGGGCAATCAAAGGGCAACTTATGAGAGTCAGTTCCTCCCTGCTATTATGGGGGTTTCAGAGATGGAATTTAAGTTATTAGACTTTGGCAAGTGCCCTTCCCTCTAAGCAGCCTTCCTGGCTCTGAAGCCTTGAAAATAAACACTTAATAAGAATTACTATTCAAAATTTTCTCTTAAGGCTTTTGTCTACATTTTAAAATTAGTATTATTACATTTCTTTGTTCAGGGGAGGGTGTTGGGTGCTATGGCACCCTTATGAAGGTCAGAGGAAAAGTTTCAGGTGTCTATTCTCTCCTTCCACCATGTGTCCTGGATCAGACTTAGGTGGTAGGAACCTTCACCCTCTGACCCATCTGCCAGTCAGCATCTAACCAAGTTTAAGTTAGGTAAATGTGTCTCTTAAATTTTAAATCTTACTACACGGAGTAGTAAGAACTGAGATGTATTTGTAAGCTTTTAAGTTTTATATTAATAGGTAGGTGTGATGGTATGTACTTCTAGTTCCAGACAGTGTTTAAGTGTTAAGACTAGCCTTGCTCTATGTTTGATCAAAAGTTAGAGGTCAGGCTATGTGAGACCTTGTCTTTTTGTTTGTTTGTTTGTTTTTTCAAAACAGGGTTTATGTAGCTCTGGCTGACCTAGAACTCATTCTGTATACCAGACTGGCCTTAACTCTTAGGGATCCACCTGCTTCTCTGTAGCTTTGGAGGTTGTCCTGGAACTTGCTCAGTAGATCAGGTTGACCTCAAACTCACAGAGATCTGCCTGTCTCTGCCTCCCAAGTGCTTCGACTGAAGGCATTCGCCACCACCGCCTTGAATTCACTGTATAATCTAGTCTGGTCTTGTCTCCATTTTCTAAGTGCTGGATGGAATTATGGGCCAGTACTGCTAGGTCTTCCAGGCATGCCCCACCCTACCCCCAACCCTCAGTACTGGGAAATAGATTTAGATCTTGTATGTTCTGGGCAAGTGTTCAGTCCTAGTCTGATGTTCTGGTCTTATCTGTGGAGCTAAATCTTTTTATTGTATTGTTTGGGCCTGGAATTTATTATGTAACATACTCTGACCTTGAACTAGCAAGCTTCTTGATTTGCTAATACTGCTTCAACCTCTGAAATGCTAGAAGTATAGGCATATGCTACCAGACTGAGCTCCTTGGGTATCTGTCTGTCTCTTGGGCTCTTTGTCTTTCTGCCATGTGTCACTGACATTTTCTGTGATGGTTAAATGCATTAAGAACAGTTGCTGGTTGTGGTGGTAAACACTTTAATTTCAGCACTTGGGAGGCAGAGGCAGGCAGATCTCTTTTGAGTTCGAGGCCAGCCTGGTCTACAAAGTGAGTTCCAGGACAGCCAGGGATACACAGAGAAACCCTGTCTTGAAAGCCTCCCCCCCCCCAATAAAAGGGATATACATAAAGCTCTTGTAGGTGTGGAAGAGGAAGAAAGAACATTTAAAAAGTGCTATTGGCTCAGCTGGTGAAGGCAATAGCCATGTGAGCCTGAGCACGTTTATCCCTAGATGTGGTGCCACTTTTGTAATTCTGGCAAGAAATGGGTGGAGATAGAGTAAGGGCAGGCTCATGAGCCAGGAACTAGGAAGTAAGCAGCATAGAGTCAGAAGGGAGACTTCCTCCAAAATAAATAAACAGATAAAAGGCAAAGGCAATAACTAGTTTTTCAGAGTTGTCTTCTGATATCTACATGAATGATCAAGGTGCATACCCACATACACACTATAAATAAGTCAGCAATTTTATTTTAAATGAGCTTTTTTTAAAAGAGTGCTATTCAAAAGGATTTGATATTGATGCAAGAGGCAGTAAGTAGTTCATGGCCATGTGTAGTTTGACTTAAACCTTGATCCTCACAGTGAGTTTGGTAGAAGTTTTATGACTGTATATATGCTTAAGATTTTTTCTTTCTTTCTTTTTTTTTTTTTTTTAAGCAGCAGCATCTGGAATCAAGAGAACCATAGGATCTGAGGTGAGTTTTAATTGATTCATTGTTTGCTAAAAGTATAATTCTAGCACAGAAGAATATCTGTCCAAGTATGTCCAAACATCTGGCAACACAGCCCACTGCTGCCATCTACAGAGTTAATACATGAGAACCATGTAACTGAGTCACAAAAAAAGAAACTGAAGGACTGGAGACATGGCTCAGTGATTAAGGCACTGACTGTTCTTTCATAGGTCCTAAGTTCAGTTCCCAGCAACCACATGGTGGCTCACAGCCATCCATAGTGGGTCTGATGTCCTCTTCTGTCATAAAGACAGAGCACTCACATATATAAAATATATAAAATAAATAAAAATATATAATATATAAAATAAATAAATCCTTAAAAAAGGAAAAATGCAAAATATCTCATGGTATTTTAAGGAAGTTTATGGTTTTGCATTGGGTTATGGGGTAGACATGACTATTATTTTCCATTTGTTTATGTCTTGAGAGTTAGACAGGATCCGTGTGTGTGTGTGTGTGTGTGTGTGTGTGTGTGTGTGTCAGTGTGTGTCAGTGTGTGTCAGTGTGTGTCAGTGACGAGAGACAGACATTTATTTGGCTTGTTAATTTATTCAAAGAAAAACACATGCAACTGCATGAAAAGAGTCATAATCTCATATTTCTAAATGTAGCAGTAGAATAGTTGTTGACTAGACTACAGGATTTAGTGCAAAGATAATGTAAGACCCGTGGAGGGCTTGGACCCTCATGCCCCTACTCAGGAAAGGCGCCCCCCCCCCAATCAGTCACGAGAAGTGGTCTTGATGCAAAAGCATGAGGTCTTTTATATTCCAGTGCACTGGGGTCCACAGCCATACTCCACATTGGGTAGAGGACTGGGAATCCTGGGTACAGGGTTCAGACAGCTTTTATAGGGTTCCAACAAAGCCCGTACATCATAAACCAATCATCTCATAGCATCCAGTGCAGACCAGTTAATTTGAACTATCCAAGCCCGTGCTTAGCCCAGGAAGTCTGCTTGTGCTAGGGTTTCTAGGTAGTGTGACAAGGCTCATTTCTTGTGTTCATTCACTCACAGGTGCTGTCAGTAAACTCGCCCTGTCGTAAACAGTCAAGAATGTGACCTTTTGCCTACTCACTGCTAGGAGGTAGAGTCTAGGGAGAATTAGGCTAAATTTTTCCATCCTTACAACAACTGTACAGAAAAGTTTGAGTTCCAACTTCACTGAGTCCAGTAGTGAATGTGTTTCTTTTCGTTCTTCAGCTTCTTACAAGTCTTTCACTTTTGGGTCTGTTGAAGATCAGTATGTGTGACCTCTCACTTGTGCTCGTAGTCTGGAATTTTTGCAGCATTCCTTTCTTTCTTTTAATGCCAGAATTTTTACTATTCTGTTTTTATTTTTTTAGTCTTGTTGCTTTCCTGCTTTTTCTTTCACATGCCACTTTCTTTGCCCAGTCACTGAGTTGCTCTTGATCTGCCTCGTGTGAGAGTCAGCCATGTTTTCTTGAATGCTGTGGAAAAGACAGGACCCTCTTTATGTAATGGGTGGATGAGTGGGAGTGTCATGTTGTTGGGTGCCAAATACAGAGTCTCGTGTGATAGGTGAGCGCTGTAGGCTGAGGATATAGCCCAGAGGTAGACAATTCTATTTTTGCATCTTTTTTGTTTACTAGAAATTACATAATTATTGGGACAAGGCATATACTGTATAGGCCAGCTGTGCTTAGATTCATCCTTCTTTCTCAGCCTCTGGAGCACTGAGATTATATGTGCCAGCGTGCCTCTCTACATCTCTGTTTTATTGTTGGGAATTTGTGAGATTTTGTTTCTGATTTCATTTTTGTTTTTTTGGAGATACAGTTTCTCCCTGTAGCTTTGGAAGTCCTGGAATTTACAATTAGAACAGGCTGACCTCAAATACTCAGTGATTTATCTGCCTCTTGAGTGCTGGATTAAAGTCATGATCATCATGCCTGGCTTTTTTTGTTGCTTTGTTTGTTCACAGTTTCTCTGTGTAAGAGCTCTGGCTGTTTTGGAGCTCAATCTGTAGACCAGCTGGCCTCAAACTCAAAGATCTTCCTGCCTCTGCCCCCAGTGTGCTGGGATTAAAGGTGAGTGCCACCACTCCCTAGCTTTTTTTTTTTTTTTAATAATGTATATGTATATTTGGTATGTGTGCATGTGTGGTGTGGGAGCACTGTATTTTTATGTGTGGGTAGAGATGGTTGGTTGATGTCAGGTGTCTCTGTATACACACACACTCAGTGTAGATGACTCTCCACTGTCTTTTGCTGAACCTGTAACTCAGTTAAATTTGGCTAGTCAGCTAGCCTGTCTGATCTGGTGACCCTATCTGCCTCTCAAGTGCAGGATTACAATGGGCTGCTATTTCTACCCAGCTTTTACTTGGGTATCTCAACACTGGTCTTCATGCTTAAGCTGTGGTCTCTTTACTTGCTGAATTTAAATCTCTGATACAGTAATATCATATATACTGAATTTTTGGTTCCTCTGTGACCCAGGCTGTCCTGAAACTCACTCTGTAGACCAGGCTGGCCTCAAACTCAGATATCTACCTACCTCTGCCTCCTAAGTTCTGGGGGTAAAGGTGTGTACCACCATACCTGGCATAATATTTTATTTTGATTGAGCATATCTTTTGTTTTTTGAGTTTTACTGGATTATTATTTACTTATTTACTTTTGAGGCAGGGTCTTATTTAACCAGCTCTGGCCTCCCACTGTGTTTTGTTTAAGGTTTATTTAAGGTTGACCTCCCCTCCTCAGTGTTGGTATTACAGGCATGCACCACCACACAGGCTTTGCAATGCTTCAGATGGAAGTCAGGACTTTTCATAGACTGAGCAGGCACTCTACTAGTGGAGCTATGTGCCCAATCCTTGTTTGTTTTGGGGGGTCAGTTCTCACTCTGTACTCAGGCTAACCTGGTATAGAACATGAACTAACTTGTAACTTTGGGCACTTCCACTTGCCTCAGCCTCCCAAATGATGGGATTGCAGCCATGTTTGTACCCATCTTTTCTGTGCAGAATATTTCAGTTTGCTATCCTTTCCCCACATGGCGATTTCTTAATCCCCTCTTAGTTTTGTTTCATTGTTGTGCTTGTGTCAGGTTTCAGAATAATGACCTGGCAATTTTTTCTGAGATTTCAGGCTTTTCTTTAGAATATCTTTCAAGGTCTTTGAGGTAATATGCTTCTTATTGTTTTGATCGTGATTACTTTAGATCTCATAACTTCAAACTCACTATGTAATCAAGATTGGATTTGAAATGGTCATTCCAGCCTCCCAAGTACTGACTGGGCTTATAAGGTGATCACTACCTTGCCCTTTTATTAAACCTTGCCCTTTTATTAAGGGCCTTGACTGTTCGGTCTTAATATTGTGACATACTATCTTCACTAGTCTTGTCCTCTGTCTTCCTAACTTGATGGATATTGATGATGTGAAGAGTAACTTCATGTTTCTTGCACTGGCATATCAACTCCTGGGAATAGCTAGTTAGAGTCTGCTCTGATGGTTTATTCTTATATTTCTGGAGCTGTTAGGTGGGTGGCATACAAAGTCATACCATATTCTTGAGAGTCTCTTCAAAGCTGGTGAGAAGGCTTCTCCTGTAAAGCTTTTTTTTTTTTTTAAGATTTATTGCCGGCTGTGTTGTTCAACACCTTTAATTCCAACCTTTAATACCAGCACTTGGGAGGCAGAGGTAGGCGGATCTCAGTGTTCAAGACCAGCCTGGTCTACAAAATGAATTCCAGAACAGCCAGGAACACAACCAGTTACAAACTCTGTCTTGAAAAACCATTAAAAAAAATATTTATTTATTATGTGTACAGTGTTCTGCCTGCGTGTGTGCCTGAGTCCAGAAGAGGTTACCAGATCTTTTACAGATGGTTATGAACCACCATGTGGTTGCTGGGAATTGAACTCAGAACCTCTGGAGAGAGCAGCCAGTGCTCTTAACCTCTGTGTCATCTCTCTAGCCCCAAAAGCTTTTGTTTTATTTTGTTTCAAGGCAAGGTTTCTCTGTGGAATAGTGCTGGCTGTCCTGAAACTCGTTTTGTAGACAGTATTGGCCTCAAACTCATAGAGATCCGAATGCTGGGATTAAAGGCTTTTGACACCATGACTGGTTCTACCTTTTTAAAAAATTACTCTTTAAGTTTTTTTATATTTATGAATTTTACTTTCATGTGTATGAATGTTTTGTCTATTTGTGTATATGTGAACCATATGTGCCTGGTGCCCATGGAGGGCCAAAGAAAGTATTGGATTTCTCTGGACTGGAGTAATAAATGGGTTGTGAGTGGCCAGGTGGGTGCTGGGAATTTAACTCAGATACTCCCAAAGAGCAGCCAATGTTCTTAACCATTGAATCATCTCCCAACTTCCTGGTTTGTTTTGGTGGGTGGGCAGTGGGGTGATTGTTTACTTATATAAATGTTTTGCCTGCATGTATGCATGCCTGGTGCCCAAAGAGATAAGAAGCCTTCAGATCTTCTGGAACAGGAATTAAGGAGCTTGTAAGCCTGTGTTCTTAACTACTGAGCTGTCTATCCAGCCTCATCAATTTTTTGACATACTATCACTAGAACTGTTTATAAAATTACTGTCATCTTTTTGGGCTTTTGAGACTATACCGCAGGTTAACATTAAGCTCACTATGTAGCCTAAGATAACCTTGCACTAATAATCCTTTTAACTCTTCCTCCCCAAATGCTGGGGTTATAAGTATGTACCACTACCTGGCCATGTATTAATCTTAATTCTTTTCTTTTAGGGACCTAATGCCTCTGTCATGCCTATCAAGAAAATAGGCCACCGAAGTGTTGATCCCTCTGGAGAAACTACATATAAAAAGGTAAGTTAGACAGACTGGATGGGACATCTTACTTTGTAATATATCAAAGGCAATACTGTTACTATATTAGATTTTTTGGTTGTTTGTTTAATATAGTGTCTCCAGGGTGGCCTGGAACTCACTATGTAGCTGAGGCTGGCCTTGAACTCCCTGTAGCATTCTTCCTCAGCCTCTCTAGTGCTTAGGTTATAGGTATGTGCCACCATGCTTGGCCAGCACTGTCCTTGATATGTCCTCTACAAACTATTCCATTTGTTTTTTCTTTTTTTGTTTGTTGGTTTGTATTTTTGTTTTGTTTCGTTTGAAACAAGGTCTCTCTATTTAGCCTTGCCTGGCCTGGAATTCTCTGTGTAGACCATGCTGTCTCAGATCTGCCTGTCTTTACCTCCTGAGTGCTGGAACTAAAGGTGTGCACCAACACACCCAGCCTATTTACTGACAATGAACATAATGTAACTTGTATTTTAAAATTTAATTCATAAAGAATGAATTATTTTCTTTTGATATGGGTGATTAAAGGAGACTTACTAATAACAATTCTAATGTTGATTGATACTGTCTTTTTAAAAAAAACTTTTGTAAGGCCAAGGCTATCCTCAAACTTACTATGTAGGCCAGGCCAGCTCTAACTCACAAAGATCCACCTCCCAAGTGCTGGGATTAAAGTTGTGCATTATCATGCCCAGTCATGGTTGATATTTTCATTGAGTGGAAGAAATTGGATTTCATTATTAGATACAAATATATTGCTGAGTCCTAAAAGGCCACCTTTCCCCTTGCCACAGGAAATCCAAGTTTTTGTTTTGTTCTGTTTCTCTCCTTTTTGTAAGTGGGTTTTGTATACACAGGCTGATCCCAGACTCACTTGTAGCAGAGGATGACCTTGAATTGCAGACCTTCTTTTTTCTCCCAATTTGTTGAAGATTACAGGCATGCACCACACTTGCCTGGAACTCTGTTTCTGTCCCCCCCCCTTTTTTTTTTTTTTTTTTTTTTTTTAGTTTGTTTTTTTTTTTTTTTTTTTTTGTTTTTTTTGTTTTGTTTTGTTTTTCAAGATAGGGTTTCACTATTTAGCTCTGGTGGCCCTGCAACTCACTTTATAGACCAGGCTGGCTTCGAACTCACAGAGATCCACCTTCCTCTGCCTCCCGAGTGCTGGGATTAAAGGTATGTGCTGCCACCACCACTCCCCCCCCCCCTTTTTTTTTTTTTTAAGACAGGGCCTTATAATGTAGTCCAGACTGGCCTTGAACTTGCTATGGAAGGTTGGACCCCTTGGAACTTGAGTTAGTTTGTTGTGATCCCTTCTTATGGGTGCTTGGGACTGAACTCAGACTTGGTTATCACCTCTAGACCCAATTATCACTCACCTCTAATACTTTTTCCCCTCTGAAATTTTACTGTTTTTATTTTTCTCAGTATTATGTTGATGTTTTTTAATGTCCTTTTCTTCCCCCCCCCCCCGCCAAGAATGGGTTTCTCTGTGTAGCCCAGGCTGTCCTAGAATTCAAGAAATCAGGCTGTCTCTGCCTCCCTAGTGTTGAGGCTTGGGTGCACCACCACTGCCCGACTGAATGTAATAGTATTTTTAGCATTATGCGTGTTTTGCCTTCATGTATGTCTGCATTGACTACATGCCTGGTGCCAAAGAGGCCAGAGAAGGTGTTAGATATCCTCGAAGTGGAGTTAACAGACAGTTATGAGTCACCATGTGGGTGGCTGTGCCCTCTGGAAGAGCAGCCAGTGCACTTAACTGCTGAGTTATTGTTTCAGGGTGTGCACAGACCCCCTTTTTTTTCCTCTGATTTATTCTCAAGTTGCCAGTATTACTGAGCAAATTTGTATATATTAACAATGGTTATTTGCAGAGTGACTAAAAACCAGTCTTCCGGTATCTTTTCATCCACAAACACAAGCAAATAGCTTCAATACCATGGGATTTGATTCCTTCTGACCAGGCTGTTACACACATGTGCACAGACATACATGCAGGCAAAACACTCATATATAAGTAGAATTTTTCATGTGCCGTGTGTTGTTGTGTGTGTGTATGATTGTGTGTGGTGTGTGTGTGTATCTGTGTAATACTGCCTGGCCTGGAACTCTATGTAAACCCACCTGGCCTCCAAATGCACAGAGAGCCAGCCTCCTGCTTCTGTCTCTCAAGTGCTGGAATTAAAGGTATGCACCACCATTCCTGGCCATGTTTTCTTTTCTAATTAACAGGGTTTGTTTGTTTGTTTGTGTTTTACTACCTTAGTGTTCTTTAAATATTTGTCCTCCTTTGAGAGGACCAAAGCTTCTATAACTATACAGCCAAATCAGAATCTCTGTTAATTTTGTTATATTCTATGTCAGATGAGTTAAACAGTTGGAGTGGCCCAACTACTCCCAGGGCAGGTAGTAGTAATGGAGCTCTTCCCTGACTGAGACCAGCACAGATATCCTCTGTGCTACTTTGAATCTTCCATTTTCTTGTTTCTAGGTTTAATTGCAATGTAGAGGACTGGGTTAGCCTAAATTCTATCTGAACTATTGGAAGGACATTTGTTTTCAAATGTTTCTCCTTATATTTCCATCATGAGTTTTGTGGGTTTGGTTGATTGGATTAGTTTCTTAAAACCAGGTATAGCCCAATCTTACCTAAATTTGTAAATTTCTTGTCTTAAGTGGTGGGATTCCAGGTGTGTGCCTCCATTCCCAGTTTTCTCCTTGGTTATTATCAGTACGGTCAGGCTTTTGTTTATTTTTCCTTTTAGCAAGTTCAGAGTTGAAATATAGACAGGGTCTTCGTCTGGCCATGAATTTAAGGCAGTCCTCCTGCTTCTGTGTTCTGGGATTATAGGCATGTGCCACCATGCCTAGACTTTGGTTAGACTTGATACCAGAACATTTTCTATAATCTCTTTACTATTTCTTAGACAACTTCATCAGCCTTGAAAGGTGCCATCCAGTTAGGCATCACCCACACAGTGGGCAGCCTGAGTACCAAGCCAGAGCGAGATGTCCTCATGCAAGACTTCTACGTGGTGGAGAGTATCTTCTTTCCCAGGTACAGAGGTCAATTAACATTTAAGAGAGTGTCCTAGACCTCAGGGCAATTTTGAGGGTTCTAGTTTAATTTAAGCTTGTCAGTTCTTAACCTTGTTGTAAATAGTGTAAATGTAATTAGAGAGTTTAGAGAGCAAACTTTGTCATATGCCTCTGGCCAATGGGAAGTCTTATATAAAAGACAAACAATTTATTTAGGCTGGGGAGATGGGTCAGCACGTAAAGGTAAAGCCAAATAACCTAACCTGAGTTTGATCCCGAGGACCCACATGATGAATATAATTGAATCCTGCAAGTTTTCCTGTGATTTAACAATGTACCAAGGCATGTTTGTTTGGGTACTCTCTCTCTCTCTCTCTCTCTCTCTCTGCATAAATGTAATCTAAAAAAAGTGAGCTAGATAGATGGCTCAGTGGTTTAGAGCACTTGCTGCTCTTTCAAAAGACCTAGGTTCATTTCCTTACACCCACATTTCTGCTCACAACTATTTGTAAACCCAGTTCCAAAGGATCTGACACCTTTTTTTCTGGCTGCAAAACTGCCAGGCATGTATATGGTGCACAGACATGCATGCAGGCAAAACATTCATCCACCCAGAATTAGCTGTGTTTGGTGGTACCTTTAATCCCAGCATTTGTGAGGCAGAAGCAAACTAATTTCTATTTGTTAGAGCCCATTCATGACTACATAGTGAGACCCTATCTCAAGCAAAAAGAATGAAAAAACCCTTTTAATGACAAAGTCCTATGTTTTATTCTCCTATGTTGTGCCTTTGTCCCACAAATCGACTCATCGTCCCTGCTGTGCTTCTGAGAAGTATTGTTGGGCATTCCTTTCAGCATCTGTCTAGGTAGACTCATGAGTGATGGGGTCTGAGAAGTTAAGGCTTCTTTATATTTAACCCCACAGTGAAGGGAGCAACCTCACACCAGCTCATCATTACAATGACTTTCGTTTCAAGACCTATGCACCTGTTGCCTTCCGTTACTTTAGAGAGCTATTTGGCATCCGACCTGATGATTACTTGGTAAGTTTCTAATCACAGAACCTGTGATTCTAAGATAAGAATATTCCTAAAGGAATTTCCCTCTTCTACCATCTTGCTTAAGTGTTGATTGATGTGAATCTATACATACTTTCTATGATGGGTAGGCACATTGACTCTTAATGTCTTCTCTTATTTTCAGTACTCCCTTTGCAGTGAGCCATTGATTGAACTCTCCAACTCTGGAGCTAGTGGTTCCCTCTTCTATGTGTCCAGTGATGATGAGTTCATCATTAAGACAGTCCAGCATAAAGAAGCAGAATTTCTGCAGAAGTTGCTTCCAGGGTACTACATGGTAAGTGAGGAGCACTGGCAGAGGCTGTCCTCGACAATACCAGTGCTTGTCTTAATGTTGGTGTTTGAACTTAGAGGTAGATAGAAGTCAAGACAGATGGTTTTTCAGTGCTTCTGGCTTCTGAGACAAATCTTCTTTCCTCAGCCTTCCAAGTACTTGTGCCACCACCACACTGGGTTTTACATGGTGCTGAGCATTGAACCCAAGGCTTTGTGAATGTTAAACTGGCACTCTTTTATTGGATCTTCCTGTATAGCCTAAAGCCATTTTTGGGTTCTTGAATCTCCTGCCTCTGTCTTTGATTATAGGTGGTGACCACTTTGCCTGGCTTAATGCTGTTTTCTCTTTCTTTCTCTCTCTCTCTTTTTTCTCTTTTTTTTAATGTTTGATTTGATTATTTTTTTAATTATTATTTTTATTTTATCCACATTGGTGTTTTGCCTGCAGGTTAGGAGGCCATCAGACAGGAGTTAGACAGTTGTGAGCTACCATGTGGGTGCTGGGAATTGAACTCAGGTCCTCAGGAAGAGCAGCCAATCCTCTTAACCGCTGAACCATCTCTCCAGCCCTGCTGTTTTCTCTTTAAACTCTCTTAGATGCCATGAGAGATTATGAACAAATATATAGGCCAACACATTTTACCAAAATCCCTTGTAAAGCAGAGGAACAGTAGGTAGCAACTTTTGCCTTAAGTCTCACTGAAAATCTGCTAACATGCTTCACCATGTCTTACTTTTATGCCTTAGAATCTTAACCAAAACCCTCGAACTTTGCTGCCTAAATTCTATGGACTGTACTGTGTGCAAGCAGGCGGCAAGAACATACGAATCGTGGTGATGAACAATCTCTTACCTCGGTCAGTCAAAATGCATATGAAATATGACCTGAAGGGTTCAACTTATAAACGGCGGGCTTCTCAGAAAGAACGAGAAAAACTTCTCCCTACCTTTAAAGACCTGGACTTCCTACAAGATATCCCTGACGGTCTTTTTTTAGATGCTGACATGTATAGTGCTCTGTGTAAGACTCTGCAGCGTGACTGTTTGGTGAGTTGCTATATTTTCTTCTACTTCAGACACAGAAATCATTTTCATTGAAAAATCTTGGTGATTCTGTAGCATTTAGTCTATGGGAGCTGGAACTCAGATCATTAGCTCCCTGGGCTGTGTGTGTTTGTTTGTTTGTTTGTTTTGGGGAGTATGTTTATGTGTATGAGGGGTGCAGTTGCACTTTGCTGTAAGCTGCCATTTATGTATGAGTGTGAGCTTGCCTGTGTATGACATGTAGAGGTCAGAGGTCAGCATTTCGTGTTTTCCATGTGGCACTCCACCTTACTTTTCTGAGACAAAGTCTCTCACTGATCCTGGGTCTCGCCATTTCATATAAACTGGCTGACCAACTGACCCTTCCCTCATAGCTCTGGGGTTACAGACGTGCACTCTCATCTGGGTGCTGGGGACCCATACTCAACTCCACGTGTTTGTGCAGCAAGCACTTTTCCCACTGAGCCTCTTCTCTATCCCCCAGATCACATTTTAGATGACTTTTACGTTGCCTCATTGCTGGTCCTTTATGTATTTGCTTTTGTCCTTTACCCTCCCCACCTGGGCTACATTTCCTTGTTGAGCTAGCTTAGCATTCATAGGGAAACGTAACTTAGTTGTACTACAGAGCCGTTGTTGCTTAGATTTTGGTCTTGGCCTGCCAAATCCAAATCTCCATTTTGTAAATTTGAGTGCTGTTGAACACTTCACAACTGTATAATGTATCTGCTGATTGGTAATATTCTAAACCAGTGGTTCTCACCCTTTCTAATGCTTCAACCCTTTAATACAGTCCTTCATGTTGTGGTGACTCCAACCATGAAATTAGTTTTGTTGCTCCTTCATAAGTGTAATTTTGCTCTTACTATGAATTGTAAGTATTGGTGTTTTCCCATGGTCTTAGGTGCCTGCTGTGAAAATGTCTTTCTAAACCAGGCAGTGGTGGCACATGCCTTTAATCCCAGCACTTAGGATGCAGAGGCAGGCGCATCTCTGTGAGTTTGAGACCCGCCTGGTCTCCAGAGCTAGTTCCAGAACATCCTACAATGCAGAGAAACCCTATCTTGAAAAACCAAAAAGAAGAAAAAATTGTCCTTCTAAAGGGGTTGAGAACCACTCGTCTAGACCATCAGTATTACTCATTCCATTTCCTGTCCATTGCCTCTAACCTCTAGCATATCCTTTTAACTCTGCATCCCTAGTTTGGGGATTACAAGTAAATATCGGTAAACCCAGCTTTCTAACTCCCCCCCCCCCCCTTGGTTTTTTGAGGCAGGGTTTTTCTGTATAGCTCTGTCCTGGAACTCTCTCTGTTGACCAGGCTGACCTTGAATTCAGAGATCCGCCTGCCTCTGCTTCCCAAATGCTGGTATAAAAGATGTGTGCTGCTTCTCCTGTACACACATCCCCCAGTGATCTTTTTTCGACTTCTCTGTGCTCTTCTATCATGTAAACACACGTACTGTATTGCTGTATTGTACTTATTTTTATGTTTGTGTTTGGTAAATGTTGAACTAAATTGAAGCTGATTCTATAATGTCCCACCACAGATCTGCTCTGACAGTGTACTTTTTTCCCCTTGTGTTTTTGAGATGTGTCTCTGGTAACCCTAGCTATTCTTGTCCTCCTTATGTAGTTATGGTTGACCTTGAATTCCTGGTCCCGTCTTTATCTCCCAAGTTCTGGGATTGTAGGCTTATGCTACCCTGCTCAATTTATGCAGTGTTGGGAATGGGGCTTAGATAAGATCTCAGCCTATTGTCACAGACTCTTTACAGTACAGATACATAGTCCTTCATGTAAAAAGACAGTGTTCTTGTAAGTGACAAAATGAACTCAAAAAAATAAGTTGCATTGGGTACTCTGATGACTCAGGCCTATAATTCCAATTGTGGGGAACTTGGTGAGACTATATCTTAAAATTTAAAAGGGTAAAGGGAGGTTGGGGAATATAGCTTAGTGATAAATGCCAGAGACCTGTATTCAATCTCCAGTACTGAAAAAAATAGTTCCATTAATTGAATGGGAGAAAGGTAAGAAAAGGAGTGTAAATAAAGACATACCAGAGTGATATGCTCTTTAAGAGCAAAGCCTTGATTATCTGGAATTTCACTGTTGAATTTAGTTAGGTTACGCAAGAGATAAAAACTTGAAAAAAGGTCCTGACACCTCCCAGATTTTGTTCACCTTGTCCTCTCTTCCCATTAGGTGCTACAGAGCTTCAAGATAATGGACTATAGCCTCCTGATGTCAATCCACAACATAGATCATGCACAGCGAGAGCCCATTAACAATGAAGCACAATACGCAGTTGACACTCGAAGACCAGCCCCACAGAAGGCTCTCTACTCCACAGCCATGGAATCCATCCAGGGCGAGGCTCGACGGGGCGGCACTGTGGAGACTGAGGACCAGTGAGTGGGCTTAGGACCAACAGCTGTCACACATTCTCTCTCACAGTACTTTTTCTTAAAGGCACCTGGCTTGTGGAAAAGAGTAGCTTTTCTCACAGTGAGGCCAACAGCATTAACACTCATGGGGCAATTGGCCATTCTTTCATAAGAGTTTAAGAGAGGGAAAATAAAAGAATATAAGAGGAAGGGAAAGTGTGAGTGAGTTTGAAGAGTTGTGTAAGATGAAAATATTAACACTTAGGCTGTGGTGCGCATCTGTAAATCATATTAGGTTTTTTTTTTTTTTTTTTTTTTTTGGAGACATGGTTTCTGTATAGCTCTGGCTATTCTGGAACTTCCTCTGTAGACCAGGCTGGCCTCAAATGGAGAAATCCCCTACCTCTTCTGGAATTAAAGGTGTGTGCCACCAGCACCTGGCTCACATTAGAACTTTTATCACAGTTTACCGTAGGCTTCTCTGTGGAAGGTTTCTTACTGCCTTAGGTTTATCCAATGATTGTGGTACTAAAAGTTTCAGATGTTTCATTTTTAGGTGTATTATAACATGACTGTCAAGAAAAGTATCTTAGTGGGAACAAATGAAGATACAGAAGTACCAGCATGTTTGTTTTTATTTGGGGAGTAGTCCCAAAATTGCTGAGTAGTCATGATTTCAGTCTCTTTGATGGAGCTGTGTGAGAGAGAAGTATGAGGAGATTGTTATACATGTCCAGAGGGGTCTTAGTCTGGAGGGTGAGTCATTTATATTTAGCTCTTAGTTCCATGGCCAGCTTTGACTGGAGGTTAGGAGACGCCTCTAGAGGCTGTGAACAGATGTCTCTAACTCTTTTCTTTTTTCCAGCATGGGTGGCATCCCTGCCCGGAATAACAAAGGGGAAAGGCTCCTGCTTTATATTGGCATCATTGATATTCTGCAGTCTTACAGGTGAGGGACATGAGGGTCACAGATTGGGGGACAGGGTGCACTGAGCTATGGTCACTCAAGGTTCTTTATTTTTTCCCCCTCTTTAGTTTATTTTCTTCTCTTTGTAGCTTTGGATGTCCTAGAACTCACTCTGTAGACCGACCAAGTTGGCCTCAAACCCAGAGATTTGCTGGCCTTGGCCTTCCTTCCCCCTCCCCCCTTTTATAAATGTCAGTGTTCTGTCTTTGTCCATGTATGTGCACCACTTGAATGTCTGGTGCCCATGGAGGTCAGAAGAGAGTGTTGGATCCCCTAGGACTGGAATTAATAGATTATTGTAAGTCACCATGTGGGTGCTAGGAACTGAACCCAGATCTTCTGCAAGAACAACTAGTACTCTTAACTGCTGAGTCATCTCTCCAGTCCCTAGCTTACTTTTAGATGTTTTTTTTTTTTTTTTTTTTTTTTTTTTGTTTTTGTTTTTTTTTTTTTTTTTTGTTGTTGTTGTTGTTGTTTGTTTTTTCTTGAGACAGGGTTTCTGTGTAACCCTGACTGCTGGAACTCACTCTGTTGACCAGGCTGGACTCAGACTCAGAGATCAGCCTGCCTCTGCCTCCTTAGTGCGTGCACCATTACTACCAGGCTTAGATGTGTTCTTTGTAAAGTTCTTTATGATACAAGAACAGTAGTCACAGTGTGGTTACCTATAGAGTTTAAGAACTGTTCCCTGGTTTTTCTGGCTCACCACCTCTTCAGTGTGATACATACCTTCTGTGGGATACTGAGTCAGTCCTCAGACACAGTGGGTGGAGTACTCCATCTGCCTTGACTCTGAGAAATCTGTGGGCTGAGTCCTCCTCCATATGGGGAGATAGCTGGAAGCACATTCTCATTCCTACAAAGGAAAAACAGATCTCTGTGTTATGTAAAAATGACCAGCCTGTGAACTAAGGGCAGTGAAGTGGAGATGAGGGAGGATCATTCCTGACACATGACAGGGACTAAAGTGGGCTGGCTATTCAATATTTGATGTACTGATTATTACCACTAAAGTCTTTGTACACTTATTTATCGTGTGTGTGTTTATGCTACAATGGGCATGTGGAGGTCAGAGGACAACTTGTGGGAGTCAGTTCTCTTCCTTGTGGATTCTGGGGATTAAACTCCGGTCATCAGACATGGTAGCAAAGCACTTTAATGCACTGAGCCATCTCACCAGCCCTCTTACACAAGTATAGCTATACTTACTTGGCTTTATTCTTCTATTCCTTTAGCTTTCTTTTCTATTTTTCTTCTGGTTTATTGTTTGTCCAGGTTTTGTTTTTGTTTTTCAGACAAGGTCTCACATTGTAGCCTAGGCAGACCTGGAGCTCATGGCAATCCTCCAGCTCCAATCTCCCAAGTGCTTAGTTACAGGATTTGCTACTACCTTACCTACCTTTCCATCACAATTCATTAATGCTGTTTTGCCTTGCTCAGCTTTTCTAGCAATTAAACCCAGGACCTCATACATGTAGGCAAGTGTTTCATCACTGAACTGTCCTGTTCATTTAATCGGCTTAGCTAGACGCAGCATTGGCTTCCAGGTGGGATAAGTACTACCATGGCCGTTCTTTGGGTGTACTTGCCCAGTGTTTATATGTTTAAGGTTTTCTGGTATCATGGCCTTTTTTAGCCCTCTAAAATAAATTATTGTAATGATCTTTTCTTTTAAAAAACAATGTGTGATACATATTTTTCTTATCAGGTTTGTTAAGAAGTTGGAGCACTCTTGGAAAGCACTGGTACATGATGGGGTGAGTATAGCAGTCAGCTAAAGGCCTCTTCATCTCTTCATTTCTTGCCATTTGCCTCCTCAGTATCTTCTCTATATGATTTTATTTCTGGGTTTTACACTTCTGGTACAGTTTCGGTCTAAGGGAACGTGGCCATAGGATGACACAGCCTCTTGCTGGGCCTTTCTGTTTAACTCTGTAGTCATCTCTTCCTTTCAACAGGACACAGTATCAGTGCATCGTCCAGGCTTCTATGCTGAACGGTTCCAGCGCTTCATGTGCAACACAGTGTTCAAGAAGATTCCCTGTAAGTGGCTTCTACCAGATGACCCCCAGTGGCTCCCTTACCCCAAGAGATGGTGGGCAGGACACCTCTGTCAGGGAGCTGCCAAGGCCAGAGGCCTCTCCTGCTCTTCCTACATCCTGTGAGCGCTGCTTCTCGTCCTTGTGTCAGTCACTGTCTGTCTCAGTCGTTTCCGAGTTGCTGCTCCCCCTGGCTCTCCCTACATGTATCCTCGAGGTGAGGGCCATTTCTGGGGAACTGGTGGGACTGAAAAAAAAAATGTGTAGCTGTCCTTGTAGACTTTGTGACGCAGGCTTAGGTGTCTAAAGCAGACGCTTGTATAGAAAGATCAGGCAAAGATGTTAACAGTGTTCTTATCTTTCCTTCCGTGTCCAGGGGCCAGGAGTTAGGTTAGTTCAAGTGGTTGAAGCCTTGTTGATGACTATTGAAGGAGTTTTTAGTCTTTTCCCACAACTTTATTGAAACAGAAGCACCAGTGTTCCTTTTCAAACTTTCTATGTTTTGACACTGGCAGATTCAGTCCTCCTTTGCTGTCATGATAGGCATCAGTTGTCTTTTAGTGAGGTGAAGAGAACATAGACATCACAGATCGGCTGTGAGGCATAGAAACCTGTTTTCAGTGTGAAGCCCCAATGTAAATTACAGTGCTGTATGCATCTCTACTAAGAAGGGTAGAGATGTGTTGTCTGTAGCTTTTACTGGGTGACGTTAATAAAGAACAAACATACTCCATCAGTGAAAGCTGAGCGGAAGGCTGTGTTTGTCACTTTCATTTTAAGTTTTCTGTTTCTTTCCAAAGTGAGATGACTTGACTCCTCTCTGTGTAGTAAGTAACCTGTAGGCCACCTTTTCTGACATTAACCCGTTTCTGCCTTTGCTTCAGAACAGCTTGTATATGTGTCGGGGAGACTAGCAGTTGGTGTCTGTCTTGGTGATGGTTTCTGAGGTGGGTGCTAAGTAGGCTCTCTCTTTCCCTTTTGAAGTGAAGCCTTCTCCTTCCAAAAAGTTTCGGTCTGGCTCGTCTTTCTCTCGGCGATCAGGCCCCAGCGGCAACTCCTGCGTTACTTACCAGCCATCGGTGTCTGGGGAGCACAAGGCACAAGTGACAACACAGGCAGCCGTGGAGCCAGGTCAGCGCCAGCACAGGGCAGGGCAGGGCAGGGCAGGGCCCCTTGCGTTTGGACATGCCCTCCCTCTCTCCCTCCCTCCCTTCTGAGTTCTTACACTCTGGCCAGGACCTCTACTCCCCATTTCTATACAGTAAAAAGTAACCTGCTAACTCGTCTTGGGTTTTTTGTTTTTGTTTTTTTCCCCCCTTGAGACAGGGTTCTCTGTGTAGCCATGGCTGTCCTGGAAATCACTCTGTAGACCAGGCTGACCTCAAACTCAAGAGATCCTCCTGCCTCTGCCTCCCAAGTGTTGGGACCAAAGGTGTGCGCCACCAAGCCCAGCTGTTTGGAGACGGGTGTACTATGTAGCCCAGGCTCTCCTGGGATTCACTGTGTATGTAGCCAAGCTGCCTTCAACCTCATGGCCCTCCTTTCTCAGCCTTCTAAGTACTGGGATTGCAGGAACGAGTCTCCATGCCCCTCCAGTCACTGCACCTTCTCCTTGTTTCCCTGAGCACACTATCCTTCATTTATAGATCCATTCATTCCTTATTGGTTGATCTTTCTCCCCCCCCCCCCCCAGATGTACACCGTGGGCGTCCTGATGTCTTACCTCAGACTCCACCTTTGGAGGAAATCAGTGAGGGCTCACCTGTTCCTGGCCCCAGTTTCTCACCTGGAGTTGGAGAGCCTTTGCAAATACTAAATTTGAGGTTAGTTTCTTGGTCTGTTACTCTATGATCTTTTTCAGGTTCTCAGAAATCTTCATTTTGATGTTTTTCAAGAGTCTATGCTGGGTGTCATGGTGTGCTGGGGAGGCAGAGGCAGGTGGATCTCAGAGTTCAAAGCCAGTCTGATCTACCTAGTGATTTCCAGGACAGCCAGGGTAACAGAGACAGGCCTTATCTCAAAAAAAAAAAAAAAAAAAAAAAAAAAAAAAAAGGAAGGAAAGAAAGTTTATTGTTTGATTGTTGGATTTTTTTTTTTTAATATTTTTTATTTAAATTTGAAACAAGCTTGTTTTACATGTCAATCCCAGTTCCCTCACCCTCCCCTCCTTCCCTGTTCCCTACCCAACCCTATTCCATCCCCTTTCTGCTTCCCGGGGAGGGTGAGACCTTCCATTCTGTCATATCATTTGCAGCAGGGCTTAGACCCTCCCCCGTGTGTCTGGGCTGAGAGAGTATTTGGTTGATTGTGAGACAGATGGGCAACTCTTCTGTATCAGGTGTCCTGTGTCCTAGGTTACAGTTTTGTGCTCCCGTCCCTGTCAACAGTGGAGCGTTCAAGAGGCTAGTATAATAATCATGACTTAATTAGCTAATACGTTACCCATTACATCATAATAAATCAGTCCCACGCTTAATGGCTTAAAATAAGAAACACAGTTGGGCAGTGGTGGCACAGGCCTTTAGTCCCACCCAGCACTCAGAAGGCAGAGGCAGGTGGATCTCTGTAAGTTCAAGGAGATTCTGGTCTACAGAGTGAGTTCCAGGACAACCACGGCTACACAGAGAAACCCTGTCTCGAAAAACCTAAAAGAAACATAGCTGGGTGTTCTGGGGCTCACCTTTAATCCCTGCACTAGGGAGATAGAGGCTGGAAGATTGGAATTCAAAGCCCATCTGGGCTGTATGAAACCTTGTCTCAAAGCAAAGCTGAACAAAAGAAAACATATGTCATAGTATCTTGGGTTAGAATTCAAATTTAGCTTATGTAGGTTTTTGAGCTAAAATTTCTCAGAGGTGGTAATCAAACTTTTGGCAAAGAGTGAGATCATGCCCTCAAGTGGGAGGACTTCCTTCTAAGCTCATCAGTGCAGTTAGTGATGTTACTTGGTGCCTTGTTGGAGCAAGACTGAAGAGACCCTCTTTTTGTCACATGGGTTCTCTACTGAGCAACTCAGAGCATAGCTACCAACTTCTGTTAGTATGTGTGAGAGAGGTGTGTCTGCATAGAGACTATAGAATTGCTCTTTTTATTAACCTTTATTGTTTGTTTGAGACAGGGTTTACTCTGTAACAGCTCTAGCTGTCTTGGAACTCACTCTATGCGCCACCATCGGCCTGCAAGACATGGAATTCTAAAAACCTATTAGAATTGTAGGACATAGCCAGGCATTGGTGGCACACGCCTTTAATCCCAGCATTCAGGAGGTAAAGGCAGGTGAATCTCTGTGAGTTTGAGGCCAGCCTACTATAGAGCTAGTTCCAGGACAGGCTTCAAAGTCACAGGGAAACCCTATATTGAAAAACCAAAAAAAGAAAAAAAAAGAAAAAAAAAGAAAGAAAGATTGTAGGACACTGTCTCCTGTGCTGTGTTTTTACTACTGACTTAAGGCTGTGACTGCTGGCAGCAATCGCTGGGCATGGTGGCACCTGCCTGTGATTGCCTGTAGTCATAGCACTCTCTGGGCTCAAGCACAAGGGGTACAGCCTGGTTTTGAAAGGGCTCCCTGGGTACTATTTCATAAGCACAGCTCAAGTACTCCTCTTCCTCTGTGGACCCATCATACAGGTGGGAAGGCACTAGAAAATGCTATATACATTGCTTTCAACAGTGAAAATTCAGGGACTAGAGGTACAGCTCAGTGGTATAGCATTTTCCTAACATAGCCAAGGCCCTCAGTTTTATCTTCAATGCTGTAAACAAAGAGAAGGTACAGAAGAATCATTAGCTATTCTAAAATCTAGGGGCTATTGGTGTTTCTTCAGTTAGGTCTCAGAGTATAGAAATCATTCTACATGGCACTTGGTTTCACTTCACCATTGGATTTTGTCTTTTGAGTCTTTCTGTTTTAGGATAGCTAGAATTTATTTTCACTTTTTTTTTTTTCATTTAAAAATTTTTTTAAGGTTTTTTATTTTTTATGTACATGGGAGTTTTGCCTGCATGTATGTCTGTGTGAGGATGCCAGATCCCCTGGAACTGGATAGTTGAACCCAGATCCTTTGGAAGAATGGCCAGTGCTTTTAACTGCTGAGCCATTACTCCAGCCTCTAAAACATTTTTGTTTGTTTGTTTGTTTGTTTTTTGGAGACAGGGTTTCTTGGTATACAGTCCTGGCTGTCATGGATCTTACTTTGTAGACCAGGCTAATCTGGAACTCCCAGAGATCCGTCTTGCTCCGCCTCCCAAGGGCTGGGACTAAAGGCATGGGCCACACTACCTTACTCCTTAAATATTTTTAAATGATTTTTTTATTCTAATTCCATATGCATTGGTGTTTGCCTGCATGTGTGTCTGTGACGGTGTCAGATCCCCTGGAAGCTGCCATGTGAGTGCTGGTGAGAGACCTGCAGAGCGTGGACCTCACGCTCCCACTCAGGAAAGGTGAAAGCCCAGATCACTCACGAGAAGCGGTCTCGATGAAAATAGCACAGGAATTTTTATTCCAAGTGCACTGGGGTCCACAGTCATAGGACCTCGAGGGCAGAATTGAGACAGTTTTTATATTATAACAAAGCCCACACATAGGTCACTGAGGGTGGGGGTTTCACAAGCAGTTTACAAAGTCAGATAAGTGGTTAGCCAGCTCATTTTCTGTTAACTTACTAGGCCAAGATTACGTACCCAAGGGCCTGTCTGATGTAAACAGCAAAGAGTATGACCTTGCCTATTTACTGGCAGAGGAGGGTCTGGAATTTGAGGTTTTTAGGGCTTTTTAGGTAGTATTTCTAAACTTTCAGCTTCCTATGGTCATTGGAGAGTTAGGCTGTATTTTTCCATCCTTTCACTGGGAATTGAACCTGGGGTCCATTTAGAAGAGCAGCCAGTACTCTCAACTATGGAGGCATTTCTCCAGCCCCTATTTAGCTTCTTTATAGAATTTAGAGGAGGATGTGTCGATAATCTCGTGTTTCAAATTTTATTTACATTTAAAAAGTTATAGATTAGCATGGTAGTGCCTTTAGTCCTCACATTTAAGAGGCCGAAGGATCTCTGAGTTCAAGTAGCAGCCTCTAGTGATCCCTTGGTGATGCTCTATCTCAGGCCATTTTGGTTTAAGTTAGCACTGTTTCTGCTGCTGGTAAAATTATAGTGGTCTCATTCCATGTGTGACTCTGTACAAATCCCTTTTTCTTTTTCCCTAATTATTTTTCCCTTTATTTATGTGTATGAGTATATTGTCTCCATGTATATGTGTCCCATGGGCATGGCGAGTGCCACAGAGGACGGAAGAGAGCATTGATTCCCCTGGAACTGGAGTTCTGGGTGGTTGTCATTTGGGTGAGTGCTGGGAAATAAACTCAGGTCCTCCGCCAGAGCAGTCAATGCTCTCAACCATTGAGCGCCTCTCTAGCCCACAAACACTTTTCTCATATGCCCTATGCGTTTTAGAGTATCTGTGAGACATACCTGCAGCTTCTGTCTGCTTTTTAGTGGTACTTGAGGATAGAACCCAGGGCTTCATATATGTTATGTCTGTATCTAACTTTATTTTGTTGTTTGAGAAAGGGTCTCATTTATGAAACTTTGACTAGTGTGGAATTTGCTATGTAGACAAGGCTGGCCTGTAACTCACAGATCTGCCTGCCACTGAGTATTTGGATTAAAGACAACCATGCCATGCTTAGACCTTTATCTTTGAATTTTAAATTTTCTTCACATTTATTTATGTTAGGGGAGGAGTACATATGCCACACATATGTCAGAGAACAGCTTTCCCTGTAGATTCCAGGGATCAGACTCAGGTTGTCAGGCTTGATGGCAGCCTTTATGTTGGCTTGTGAGATGTCTGACTTTGTCATGTAAGCCTCCCTTGTGCTTACAGCAGTCCTCTATATCATCAGCTTCCCAGTGCCTGCATTACCGTGTGAGGTACTTAGTAGACAAGCACCATTGCCTCTGGGTTCCATAACCATACGCTATATTGAAGTTTTTTGTTAGGGTAACACCACATAGAGGAATTGTATTATGTATTAATACAAATTATGTATCGACAAGATAAATTAGCCCAAAGCTTAGCAGTTAGAAATAAAGAACATTGTTGACTTGTTTTCTTTGAATTGGGAGTTTAGGTATTACTGTGCACTTGTCTTAACTGAGCCTGTACCTCAGCTCTGGGGGATGAAGCTTAGCAATAGAATGTTTAACTTGAATTTGTGAGATTCAATGCTCATACCTGGCACCACATAGAAGAGGAAGGTTGGGGGAGGAGGGGAACACATTTAATCACAGCACTTGGAAGGCAAACTCTCTTGAGTTTGAGGCCAGCATGGTCCACAAAGTGAGTTCCAGGACAAGCTCCAAAGCTACACAGAAACACTGTCTCCTGTATGCTGAAATTAAGGTGTGTTCTTCATACCTGGGCTTTTGACTTTGTATCTTGAAACAGTATCTCATAAGGTTTCCCAGAATAGCTTTGAGGTCACTCTGAAGCTACACAGACCCTAAACTATTAATCTTCCTGCCTTAGCCTCCAAGTAGCTGGGATTATAGGCATGCACAATCATCCCTCCTTCCCTCCCTTTCTTTCTGTCTTTCCATCCTTCCATCCGTGATTGTGTGGGTGCTGAGAATTAACAGTCAGTCGTCTTATCCACTGAGCCATCTCTCCAGCCCCACTTCTTAGGTTTTCTTTCTGTGATATTAGTATTCAACCTTGGTATGGATTCCAAGGGTCAAACTCAGGTCGCTAGGCTTTTACCCACTGAGCCGGCTCTTCAGCCCACTTGTTTTCTTGTGGGTTTTGTTTTGTTTTTTTTTTTTT